ACCTCACTTACTTTGCCCTGTTTTGATAAGTGGCCTCTGAGTTTTTTTGTTGTTAGTTGTACAAACATTTTCTCTTTTGCCTGGTGTGATTTAAACAAAACCAAACTAAAAAACCAACCAAGCAAAGCAGTGGGGAAGGCGGGCAAAACTTTTGAATCTGACTCTTCTAACACATCTGTTCCAAGTTCATCAGTGTTTAAAAAAGGAGTTTATGAATTGGGTTCTGTAGTTGATAAAATTCTTCTAGAAATTGTGAGTAGATTCCCTAGTTTGTCTGCTGAGTTTAAGTTTAAACCTATACAATTTGCTACTGCTAACTAAATTGCTGTTCAATACTTCTTTTTTTTTTCATACAAAGTGCTTTATATACTATGAAGTACTAATACATGAAACTACACTTGGTAAATTAACAAATGCAAGTTCTCCAGGTTCTAATTCAGTTGTACAAAATAAAAGGTATTGAGAAAGAAGGTCCTTGCTAATGTCTGTGCACTGAATATTGACCTATGGACATACCTTTTTTCATAGTAACATGCTATATTTAAATTCGATGAACTTGTTATCTCTTGCTGTGTTTTCACTGTCTTCTCTCCCTTCCTCCCCTAATCTTCTGTATTTTTCTAGAGACCTACTGTACGTGAGACCTTTCAGGAAACTGCAGTTTGAATACATTGGATCGTTCCAGTACCTGAAACTTTCACGATGAAGAGAGCTAGGCAGAAAGTTGTGGCTGAAAATGAAGCTCCTCAAACATCACAGAAAAGCAAAAAACAGAAAACTTGTTCATATGGCTCGGTGTTTGGTGAATCTGACTTGCACACCTCAATGGACTGGGGAAGCCTTCCACACCATGTTATTCTGCGTATTTTTCAATTTCTACCTTTAGTAGATCGAGCCAGGGCATCTTCTGTTTGTCGACGGTGGAATGAAATTTTTCACATCCCAGATCTCTGGAGGAGATTTGAATTTGAACTTAGCCAGCCAGCTACTTCTTACTTAAAGTCTACACATCCTGATCTCATTCAGCAGATTATCAAGAGGCATGCTGATCATCTGCAGTACGTCAGCTTCAAGGTAGGTCTTGGATGAATGGAGGCATGTTTGTAGCCTCAGGATTGCATAAATGCGGACTTCTTTCATTTGAATGCTTGATACAGTTTACTCTGTTTATCTGAGAAGATCATAGTTGGAATTGCGGGTGCTTTGTTTGCTTTTGGCAGACACCTCTCCTTAGAGGATGTCATAGTTCTAAGCTGTGAAGGAAAAGCAGAAGAAAGGATTGATCTTAAACCTAGGATGAAAATCAGAAGCTTCTTTTTCTCAGCACTGGTAGCAGTTTTACATCTGAAGATACCATGATTTGGCTGCACAGCAGTTTGTGGATAATCAGTTATTAAATACCTGTAACTTCTGCACTTCATGTAACTGCTTGTAATGAATTGGCATTATATGTCTTAATGCAACTTTTAGCTTTTTCGGCTACTCTTTTATCATCTCAGCTACTACAGAGGAGGAGGGTGAGATGAAAGAGTGATTTGTCCAAAGTTAGTGATCAGGCTTATAGATGATTTGAGAATCAGTTTGTTATTCAACGTGCAAAGGTGTTACCCCTGCAGGTAAAACGGATTAGTTTGCTGGAGTACATCTAGGCTTTATCAAGTCTTTTTTGTGCTCTAGGAGTTTAGAATTGGCATGCATTTAAAAAAAGGTGCATACATACCACTGTCTATCATAACACAAATACTAATTACAGTTGTTTCAGAAGGCATGAGGTTATTTGAAGACAAGTCTCTAGGTTTAAGCTCTCTGTTCATATTGGAAATACCCAGCGGTCGTACTCAGGAAGATTTTCTAATGATAACTTTCCTGAACTCTTCTCTTGAAACTTCTAATTAATGTTGCGTTTTGTCCTTGTAGTAAATGCAGTCTGGTGCAGTACAGTAAAGTAGATGTGGACCTTGCAGTCTTGGGTATCCATGATGCTGTTTTCTAAATAATAATAAAGAATGGCTTGTGATTTTTAAATTGCTTTTATAGGTTGATAGTAGTACTGAGTCAGCAGAAGCAGCCTGTGACATCCTTTCTCAGTTGGTGAACTGTTCTATCAAGACACTGGGTTTGATTTCTACAGCAAAGCCAAGCTTCATGAATGTCTCTAAGGTAGTGTTCTACAAACTGTAACTAGAATGACTTAATTCACTCTTAAACCACTTTAGCTTTCTTATTGTGTTGTTATTCAGTTGATAGTAATTTTTCTGAAACGCTCTGTATTTATTGGCATGTCTTCTTTAGTTTGTGGCATCCATTAGTATTAGGAAAACAGTTAAACATTGATTGCATTCATCAAATTTAGTAGTGTTGATACTTTGGTGTAGACATGGGGAATCATTTGGAAGGCTTGAGTCTCCTCATTTCTAGATTAAAAGATAGAATGATCACGTGCTGCAACATATTGTTAAAATATTTGGGAGATTTTTTTTTTCTTTGATGTAGGTCACAGCAGAGTTACTTTCTGGAAAATGAAACACGCTGTTTCCTTTTTTCTGCAGATAAATTCTGGATACTTCAGGCTCATCACTATGTCCACTTATCCCTGTTTTATTACAGTGAAAAGATAAATCAGAGCGGATGAGTTAATTTTTGTCACATGCAGCACCATATTTTTGAACAAAGATTTCCTATGTTCATGTTCAAATAACCTTTTCTTTGTTACACAAGAAAGGGGATGCCTATAGAAGTCATTATGTTTGTACTTTTCTGTGCATGCAAAACCTGAAGGTTAGATGCTGAAGTTCTGCCTATCTTTTCATAAGATTTTTTTTTTCCCCTCCTTCAATTTCTCCAAACAGGCTCATTTTGCTTCAGCACTGACAGTAGTTTTTGTAAACTCCAAGTCATTATCATCAGTCAAGATAGATGACACACCACTTGATGATCCTTCCTTGAAGGTTCTTGTTGCTAACAACAGTGATACTCTAAAACTGCTAAAAATGAGCAGCTGTCCTCATGTATCTCCTGCTGGTGAGTAGTGAATATATATGAAAAATGTAATAGTAAAGTATCATAAAACAATAGTCAAGACTTAGTTTGAAACAAGTTATTCATAAAACTTCTAGTGCTTTTCTGAGTCTCTTGGCAGAAGCCTTTTATTGACCTAGTCTTGGCTTTGGATAGTTGGAAGGGGAAGAATAATAACGTCTTTGTATTACTGAATGAGTTGGAATAATGAAGATGGAGGTGATCCTCGCTTGACTGCATCTTCTAGAATCCTGGGGATTTTTTTCTTTTACATTCTTCTCAGCTGCTTCATCTCGGCTGATGATAGGCCTTGAGGAGGAAAAGCCTCCAAACTTAGTGCAAGCCTTTAAAACATGTTCCAAAGACTTCATGTCCATTGCCAGTTCCGTGCAAGAGTAACCAAATGTGTGCTGCTTAATGTGTGCAACTCTGTAAACTTAACTAGCTGGCATTCTGTGGGAACACGCACGCAAAATCCCCGACCCATGAACCAACTACTGGTTGGTGGGATAAAGGAGATGAAAGCAGTTGTCAGTAAGGGTTTTGCCAGGTGCTGTGAGTTTAAGTTACTGACAAAGGTGTTAATACTTCAAAGTTACATTAAAAAAAAACATGGAGTGTGTACAGATTTCAAAAACTAGTAGTGTAAGACTGAGAGTCTTTCAGTTTCTGTAGTGCCCTCGTGTGTCCAGATCTGGTAGTATGAACTTGCTCGTTTCAGCCTTGGCTGGTGAAGGGCTCACTCCCTTCAAAATACAGGCTTGCTAGAAAGTTCCGGTTTGGGTCCCTTCTCACTTAACCTTTCTCCTGAAACCTGGTGCTAGGGAAAGGGAGTTCTGGTCTGGTCTCTTTCCTATATTCTTATCCAGAGTCTACAAAAGGTGATTGAATCTGTGTACTTTGTGTCCAACAGACTAAGAGCAGTTACGTTGTTTATGTCGTAATTTGGGGAAGGGTCAGTTTTAGCATAGCTCTTAAACTAGGCTGCTGGTGGTCATTTATATAGAATGCTTAGATGAATGCTGAAGGAAGGAGTATTAGGGAAGGGAACAATGGCAACTTCAGCTGGATCTTACCTGATTTCGGTTGCCTCTTCAAAGCTGAGGAAATTCTGCACAGCGAAGGACAAAGAGGCGGAAAGATACTCAGATCTGAGATGAATGTGACGGGTTGGACTTGCTTCTTTTACTGATAAGTGTATATGGCCAAAACCCCATAAAAGGATGTGGATATCTAGAACTTCATCATATTTCATGGTTTTTGGATATAGGCATGAATACTCAAGCCAACAGAATTAGTATTTGCTTGAGCTTTGCAGCAAACAACTGTGTTTATACTCATTTTCTGTTTTGTAGAGTAATTTAATTTTTTTTTTTTTTTTTTTTTTTTGTTCCTCAGGAATTCTTTGTGTTGCTGACCAGTGTCATGGACTTAAGGAGCTGGCTTTGAACTACTACATATTAAGCGATGAACTGCTGCTGGCTCTTTCAAATGAAAAACATGTTGATCTTGAACACCTTCGCATAGACATTGTGAGTGAAAATCCTGGACAAGTTGAATTTCACACTATTAAAAAGCAAAGCTGGGATGCTCTTGTTAAACACTCCCCCAAAGTCAACATTGTGATGTATTTCTTCTTATATGAAGAAGAATTTGATGCTTTCCTCAGAGAGGAAACCCCTGTTACACACCTTTACTTTGGTCGTGCAGTAAGCAAAGCAATGTTAGGTCGTATTGGCATGAATTGCCCAAGGTTAATCGAGTTGGTTGTGTGTGCTAATGGACTTCAACCTTTGGATGACGAACTTATTCGGATCGCAGAGCGCTGTAAGAACTTAACAGCAATGGGACTTGGTGAATGTGAAGTAACTTGCAGAGGTTTTATTGAATTTGTAAAGATGTGTGGAGGCAGGCTTACCCAGCTTTCTATAATGGAGGAGGTACTGATTCCCGATAATGATTATAGCTTAGATCGACTTCATTTGGAAGTCTCCAAACACCTTGGAAGAATATGGTTTCCTGACATGATGCCAACATGGTAAATTCTCTACATTTGTGGATAAAATGGTAGAACCAGGGTGTTGCTCTCTATGCAAATAAAGAATTTAAAAATGAAATATGAAAACTTATTTCCAGATTTGAGCTTTTCTACATTGAGAACCTCTAGTAGTGTAACAGCAAAACATTTGAGAATGTTAACGGCATATTGAGATAGAAAATAGGTTAAGTGTGGTTAAGTGTACTTAACACTTCTGAAAGTATGTCTGTGGTTTACAGGTGCTTCAAACTTCAATGAACTTGGGTTTCTCTGAGCTTCAGTTTAAATGTTCCATCCACATTAAAGACTTCTTTTTTCATCTCTTTGTTTAGTCTTTCCGATGTAGTCGGAAGAGGACTAGAGAAACTTTTTTCCTTTAGCAAGTCTAACCTTATGGGAAGCTGGATACAACTTGGAGTTCAGGAAAACCATATTATTTGCCATGATATTTTATGCAGCTATTTTGAAAAATATTCATATTATAAATGTAAAAGCTTGTACATTATTATACATACACTAGCCCAGGTTACTCAAATATAATCTAGCTTAAACTCATGCTAATATATTAAAATGTTCTGATAAATAAGCTTATGCTTATTATAAAAAGTCCTGGTTTAAATTGCACTTTAAATAATTTTGTCAGATTAGCTAAACTGTATAGACTGCATTGTACAGTATGTTGTTTTTCTGTTTTGTGCATTAAATGGATGGGGAAAGAGACCTTGTTAAAATTAATGAATTTAAAAGTTTGGATCTAGATTGATTGCTTGGGTGAATGACAAAGCACTTTGGAAACTGCCAGAGTATAAGGAATAGTTTCTGGGTTTGAGAGAGTTCAAGTCTTTGATTAGAGACTGATGTCTGAATGCTGTTCCATACTTTCATTATTAAGAGATAAGAAGGATCTTACAGATGTGGCGAGTGAGAAGGAAGGATCAAATGGAATAGAGTTGTCTTTGATCACTTTCTGTCTGGCATCAAGGGTTTAGAGCACTTTAAATAAATAAATACTTGGCAGGCCAAAATGGGCTGTAGTAATCTTGCCTGTATCTCTCAGAGCTGTGCTGTCAGATGTGCTTTCTAGAGTAAGGATTGCTGGAGGTGATCCCGAAATTTTTAATTCAGAACTGTTTATTACTTGTTGCTGTTGTTTTTTGAGGAAGGTGATTTTGGTTTATTTCTTTGTTTTCTTTGAAGGGGAAAGGAATGGTGAGTTGGTGTGAATTAGAATATTTTTGTGTCGACATTTTGCACACTGTAAACTGAAATGCATTGTATACAAATTTTGCTGTAATTATTTTCATGCTGTAGTTGTTCTATTTTCCTATTTATGATGAGAAGTCTACATTTGATTTGCTGGTAGTATTTGTCACATCAGATAAACTATGTCAGTTTATTTCACGCTTATACTTCTTTACTGCCAAAATAACAGCTGAAGGGTTAAATGACCATTGTCTTGGGCAGACCTGTTCCCAGTTGCAAGCTAAAGGATTTAAGATCACATATAATGCCTGTCTGAATCAGTAATGTGTTATTGCCTGTTGCACACTTAAGAAGCCTCTGACTCTGGTTGCTAGCATCTGTTACCCAAGCACTTGCTTCCATAATCAAGGGGATTATAATTGTCTTTTAAACAAAAGACTGAAATATTTCTAAACAGTATTTGGTTTAAGATCTGTGGTTTGCTTTAAATGTAAAAGTAATAAAGTGATCTAATACGTGCACTGATACTAGACTCTTATCCATCTGTTGCACCACATCATCCTGTTAAGCAGGGTTCTGTCCTGTCAGAAACCATGTACTTGACAAACCTGGGGAGAAGCAGTAGAAATGTTTAACTCCTGGATTATATTGAATTAGTCATTGTTATTTCATGTTCATGCCTCAAACTCGAGGATTTTTGATGTGCTGAAACCATAAAATGGAATGTAGACAAATCTTAAAGATGGTTGGTAAGTCCTAGAGTCCTTCATGTCTCTCTAGCCAACGTAAAGGCACTAATGAAGTATCAAACACTAGTGGCTATATATAGAAAATATAGTTTGGGAGGAAACTGTTAAAATGCTGCTTTGAATATTGTTCCTTTTTCTGTCCCTCTTACTAAAGCAGCTTTTCTGTGAAGCCATGAGTGTTAGCTTGCTCCAGCTCCAAGCTTCTAGAAAAATGGGCCTGCATTTATTAACGTTGTGCATTTTGATGCGATGATTTTTGTGCATTCGCTCTGCTAACTGATCTTAACAAGTAAGACCAGTTGATACTTGAGTTTATAACTAAATGCCAACAAAATTGATACACTAGTCTCAGTGTGAAATACTGATTCTTCACTGGTAGTGTGGGAAGCCAATTCCAAGTGGAAGGTAAGATCTGACATGTTAGTGTTGAATTTTATAGTTTTAGCGTTAGATTTGTTTAGTGTCATGAGTTGGTGCATTGTGCTTTGGGGAGGAGTGTCAAAACACTGCCCTGTGTAAAGCAGCATTAGTTCTTCTTTTCCTTTAGATCATCCTGAATGACAGCAGTGGAGGTATTGCACTTCCAAGGACCTGTGGACAGTTGCCTGCTGCCTTTACTTCCTACTGTCCCTTGAGAAGCCTGTACTTCCGAGCTCTGCATTGTCCTAGCTAAGGCAAGTTTTGTCTATTTTACTGGCTTTTCCTAGTTTCAGTACCCTGCAAAGGCTTTCTAAAATGCCATCTCTAAAGTGTATAATGCAGTGATACAGTTTGTTAGAGTAACTAAACCCCTCAAAATTAAGTACAGCATTTACACCTGATACGCTAAGGAGATTTGTAAGGTCGCTAAAAAGTCCCCAGTTCCAGTAAGAAGCTAACAACAGTAGTGCACCTTTTCTGCCACATGAGGGGGTGAGCTAGTTTTTGTGCTTGCTGACTTTTCAGACTCCTTGAGAAAGCTTATAATTGTTGCTAATTTCCCAATTCTCTTGTAAATGCAAATTCCAATAAAAAAATCTTTTTTCCTTGTGTGGAGTCCCTTTTGCCATCCAGTAGAGTCAGTCGTTGTTCTGGTATGACAACTCCAAACAGAATCTTTTATGCCTTGTGGAGTGTTGCAATAAATTTCCTTCTACTTTTCAGGTGCCTTCAAAATCCAAAGTATAGAATCATAGAATTGTTTAGGTTGGAAAAGACCTTTAAGATCATCCAGTCCAACCATTGACCTAACATTACCAAGTCCACACTAAACCAATCAAGGGTAGACTAGACTAAACCATGTCCCCAAGTGCCACGTCTGCCCATTTTTTGAACGCTTCCAGGGATGGTGATCCACCATCTCTCTGGGCAGCCTGTTCCAATGCTTGACTACCCTTTCCGTGAAGAAATTCTTCCTAATATCCAACTTAAACCTCCCCTGGTGCAGCTTGAGCCCATTTCCTCTTGTCCTATTGTTATCTACTTGGGAGAAGAGCCCAAGACCCACCTCACTACAGCCTCCTTTCAGGTAGTTGTAGAGAGCGATAAGGTCTCCCCTCAGCCTCCTTTTCTCCAGACTAAACAACCCCAGTTCCCTCAGCCGCTCCAAGTAATCTTGTTTGTCAAGGTGTATCGAAGTTCATCAGTTAGCCTAAGATACAATGTTTGCAACAATTACAGGTACTTAAAAACCAGTACCTAACCAGTATCTGGAGTGTATATTAATGTTAGCACCTTGCAATATTATGTAAGGCTCAAAGTATTGAATCGGTAGTAATATAAACTGTTGTTGTGCATATTGTATAACTTTTTAAATTCTCTAAGATACATTTTTTATTTTTTCCTTCCTTCACTGAGATAAGCTGTCCACATGATAAGAAAAAACAACTTTTGGATGCTGAGAAGAATTTATTTGGAATTTACTATGCTTCCATTTCACACTTTTTGCCCTTTCCCCCTTTGGAGATAGGTAGTAGGATCTGAGTGATCGCAGTTCTCAACGTGAATATGAGATGTGATACCAGGAAATACTCTTTGCATTGGCAACATTTTCCCAAGGATTTGTCCCTTAGAGATTCTACCTCTGTATCTGATGGGATGGATGCAGACTAGTTTTACACAGAAGCCTGGTGAAAACAAGAGGAGGGAGAACATCAGGTGACTGATGAAGCATTTATTCTGTACTATTTCAGAGATATTAACATTTTCTGTCTTGTCTTTTCCACTGAGATAGCAATAGTGGAAATACCAAAATAGCAAAGACACTGTGGTTGTAAAAAATAGAGATAGTGGTTGGAGTTGTTGGCTTAGTGGAAGAGAAGATGGGAGGCAGGGAGGAGATGGGAATTCCTGCTTTAGTAAAGAGAAGAGCTTGAAGACACTCTACAGAACTCAATTATTTGCGTTCTAACATAGGAGTAAAAAGTTCTGCATGTAAACGATAGAAGATGCAGTGTTTCAAAATACGTACCTTGCTTAACTACTTGGCTAGCTGCAAGGTAATACATCCTATAGGACCTCAAGACAAAGAAATATTAAATGAAAAATAGCTATTTACCTGCTCCCCTGATTTGGACTCCATCATCAATGATATTTCCGTTGTGGAAGAATTTAATGGGTCCGGAGAGCTCACCAGAAAAGGGAGCATACACAGTTGCTCCATCAGCACAGATGACATCCACGCCTCTGTGCACACCTTTGTGCTTTCCTTTACCATTGCGTCTGAAAACAAATACATAATTAGAAAAGTCTCTTGTCAGACCTAACATTATATAGAGATAGATGAGTTAGCACTCTACAAGATGTGGAAATGGGTTGTTTGTACTGAGACAGTGGTGACATAGTTGGCTGGCTGAAGAATCTATTAAGTTTTTTGGTGTAGATGATGTAATGCTATGTAGGGTTGATGTTAGAGTCATGGCTTTGCAAATTGGAGGAAAAAAAAAACTTTCTTCCAAGCCTTTAAATAGAACTGTAGAGTCACAGAAATGTTGGTTGGCAGGTACCTGTGGAGGTATCATCAAATCCAACCTTCCACTTGAGTCAAGACTGTTCCCGACACCAGGTCAGGTCTGCAACAGCTTAGTCAGAGTCATAAAAACCTCCGAGCACAGAGGTTTTATGAACAATGCAGGCAACCTGTTCTGGTGTTGCATTACCCCTGTAGTGAAAAAATTGCCTCATGTCCATTACCTTCAAAGCTGTAATTCTTAAATGGCTTAAACAGAATTCAACTCTCTTTCAGTGGAGCAGCGACAAAACCCAACGTGTTCCACTTATAGTACCTTGGAGCTCCGTAGTATCCGCAGCCGTAGTTATCACAGCCTCTTATCTCGTTTGTAGGATTGCCAGAGCACACTGTTGACCATTGTGTGTCTTGTTGTGGGAAAGGTGGGACATCTTTGAAATACAGAAACACAGCACATCAAAGTTAACTTTTAGGTTCTAAGTGTTTCATGTTTGTAACTACTATGTTTTAATTTTAGGAACATACTGGAATTACATCCCACACATGTAGTTGGATGGTTCACTCCACAAAATTTGTCATCCTTTGGGAAACGTAAATAGAATGTACACCTAAGACTGGATTGTAATGTTTCTGGATTAAGGTTATCTCATATAAGAAGCATGCGTTAAAGGACAAATTCAAAGAGAGTACCACGATTCCTAGAGTGTGATCTGAGGGATAGGAAAAGACTCGGTTTTGTTTCTTATTCTATGCCCCGGCTGATGGGACTGGACTCCCCAGGTCCTCTTCTCCATTACTACCAATGTAGTCTTTGTGCTTACAAAGAACCATCCTAAAGTCTGCTAAGATGCAATACTGAAAACATTGCTAGTAGTTAAAGGGGTACAAACAGAAGAGATGTCTGACTCAGTTTATTGCTGAGACTTGCTGCTGCTGTGCCTTGGGGGGGCAAAAATGCAACTTGATAAGCTGATAGTCTCCTTCCTGTAACATTGTCTACAGTCCTGTTATGCTGTATTTATAATGCATATTTTCTTTCTTTCAGATGTTCCTGTCAGAGAGAACCTAAGACAGAGGGGCTATTGCTATTTTATATTGTTGTCCTTATTTGAAATTAATTAGTAACTTAATTTTCATTCATTATACTACTTATTCTGTTTTTTTTTTTTTTTCCTTGGGTTTGGGAGGGGGCGGGGGGTGTTGGTTTGTTTGGTTTTTACCAGGCGTCAGTAGAGGAGTAGGATCAGAGTGGTCACAGTTCTCAACATGGATGTGAGAGGTAATGCCAGGAAATACTTTTTGCATTGGCAGCATTCTCCCGAGTTGTTGTCCTCTATAGATTTGGCCGTGGTATCTGATGGGGTGAATACAGATGAGCTTTACACAGAAACCTGGGAGAGACAGGAGAGGAAGCGAGGTCAGAAAACATCAGCTGCATCTGTTCTTGGGGTGAGCAAGAAACTTTCCATGCTAGCCTCTTGCTGGAGACTGTAATGATGAAGCAGAAAGATAGTCAAGGTACCAACAATCCTGAAATCAAAATTACTTGGATTGCTGTGGGAAAGAGGGAGTTGGAAAATAGAGGCAGGAAAACATCCTCTCAGCAAAATTGAAAGCATATTTTTGATACTTTATTTTTACTGTTTCCTTTTTTTTTTATTTGGGGTTGTTGTTTTTTTCTGCTACCTGTTTTTCAACTCCCTTCTCCCCTTCTCTCCAAGAAAAGCATAGGAAAAGGACTACATCCTGCTGCAACTGATTTCTGATTATTTCTTAGCAGCAGTCTAGTTGTGCTTCGGTGTAGGAACTAGAGAGGGTGTAAGATTAATCAACACTTTGCTTGAATTAAGGAGCCACAGAAAACTTACTCAAGTAAATAAAATGATTATTTGTGCATGCCCCACAACATATCTGCTGTTGTTACTTGCCTTGTCCCCTGATTTGGACTCCATCATCGATGGCATTTCCATTATGAAAGAATCGAATGGGTCCATAAAGCTGGCCGGAGAAAGGAGCGTACACTGTCGCTCCGTCAGCGCAGATGACATCCACACCCACGTGCTTTCCTTTACCACTGTGCCTGAAAACATAAATATGTAGTTAGAGAAGTCTGTCAGGCTTAACATTATGTATAGATGGAGCAGTTAACACAGTATGATATCTGAAGCTTGTCTAACAAAATGTTTGTGTCTGCAATGAAATTGGAAAGAAATCTTTTATTCTGGCAAAATATTCGTATTACTCTGACCTCCTTTAAAGGGGGATGGGATTTCAAATTGTAAGCACATTTTTAATTTTTCCAAGTTCATGGGATATTTCAGGGCGTTACAGAAAAGCACGCTGGTTCTACCCCAAAATATATCTGTGCTGGTGTAAAATAAAATCTTACATTTGGCATTTTCTCATTTAGAAATCCAGAAGTTGCATGATGAGGATGGACACTTATACTGCCTGAAGAGAGGAGACAACAGGAGAACGCAGGGAAGGCAGGAGCCATTCTATGCATAAAAGCATTTTTCAGGGAAATATAACCTGTTCTGTTAGGAGGTGCCTACTTAAAGACAGTGATGCTGGCAGACCTTTAGCTTGTGTAAATTAGTCTGCTTAGCTTCCTGTAAGCTGTTGCTGCATGTTAGTTAAATACCTGGTCTATAAGCAGCAAGAATAAATGACACAAATCCTTGAAATACTTTCCATTTCCTTTACTCTGGCTGCTAATTCATGTAATGGTCTCGCTTCTTCACCCACGCATCAGTTAGTAGTGGTGGTATTACTGCGCTTCCACGAGATTGCCAAGTAATGTCCCAAAAATGAGTAAGAGGTCCCGCAACAAAATGAGTAAGAGGTCCCGCAACAACAGTATTCTCTCATTCTAAGTGTCAGCTCTGGTTAAACTCTGCATTCTCCTGTGTGAACATTTATTTTAGGAAAGCAACAGCGAACCCCACTGCTCGAGACTCGTGATGCCCACTGTGTTACCTGTCAGCACCGAATTGGCCACAGCCATATCTATCGCAGCCCCGGATTTTGTTGGTGGGATTCCCGCTGCAGATCTGTGCCCAGTGTCCATGTTGTTGTTGGGGTGGGTGCGCGTCCAACTGCTTGGCAAAAACTTCACGTGCAAAAGAGCAAAATGGGGGAAAATTCAACCATGTTCTTAGTACAGTACAACAGAAAGTGTTAAGGTGCAAAATAGGGTGTTTAAAGTGGAAGACATGAGCTCATGGGAGTGTATAATTTCAGAAACTGTAAGTTAAAGAACGTTGTACAACCTGCTATATAGGTTTGCTCCCTTGTTCTTGAGGTCTTATTTTGAGGTAGGTACATTAAAAACAAAGTAAAGCTATAGATAAATATTTTTAATATTTGTTTGTGAAATAAGTCAAACTATGTTCACTTTCTTCATGAAACCTCTAAACACTTTAATATGACTCTAAATGCACACCTAATTCCCTATTTTATAATAGTCATAACTGTGCACATTACCATAAATCTTCATAAAACTAGATTGAAAAAACTTAATGTTACTTATATTTGAGTGAATTTCAATAATTTGTTAGTGTCTGCCTAAAACCAGTCAAGACCAACTGCAATATAGCAATCTCAACTCACCAGTGGACACCAAGCTGACCAGAGCGACCAGACTGAGAGCTGTCATTTTGTGGCTGTTTCACCGGTGTTCTTTGATCGAATCAAAGACGTTGAGCAGTAGCTGCCTGGGGTATTTATGTGTTTTTGAAAGGCCAAGTCTATTGTCTTGGCCAATCAGTCTTGAGCAAAGTAGTATATCTCTGGGCAGGTGGTGTTGCCATATTAGGCACTGAGGATGTCTACAGACTCTTAACGGTTGTTAGAGCTGGTTGGGAAAGACTGAGAAAATAATTGGTCTCAGCACACAGTAACAGATGGAAATGAACAATCCCACATTTCAGGAAGCTCTGGGTGAACCGTTTCTTAACACCTTTTCTTCCCCACCCGAAGGAAAGGCACGCTTAGGCCAAAAATGGCAGGAACCAAGAACACGGTCCAGAGGATTGAGTTGGAGGGAAAGGATGGGCAAAACTTCATGGTGGATGTAACCAGTTTGTCCTTTGCTGCTCATTCCAGTACCTCCTCCCCAGGTGTATGCGCCCATTACAGCTTTCTAGCAGAGTGGCAGAGAATGTGTGAAGTTGTAACGTGTGCTGTAGCATGAGTATTCACTTAGGCTAAGAAATACAGATGCTTTTGCATGCAAACATGTCATCTTCCCTGCTCAGCTGAAATTATCACCTAGCCTGGACTTAAATCCATGAAGTCTTTTCACTGACTAAAACCCTAGTTTTTGACAACTAAATTCTTATTAAAACATCTTCCAGTTTTGAAACAAACAGTTGCAAACCCAAGTTGCATGGCATAACTGACATGGAGTTAAAAATTCTAGGTTTTAAAATGATTCATTTAGTATCTGCTTGATTTCAGCTATTGTACTATTAAACTGGCTCCTTAGTGTCTCTCTTAATCCTTCAGGTGGATTTTTCTGCACTACTTACAGAAAAGCATTAGATCTTTTTTACGGACACGTCTTAGTTAATATGAAATTTTAATGAGTCGTGGTGCCTTCACATGAACTATCCCATATTCCAAGTTACAGAAACCTCTGGAAGTCTGCAGGTTTTATTCAGAGGAGAAACAGTTGTCTCTCTGCCCCACTTCTGGTTTGCAAAGAGCATCTGGGCATTGTGTTTTCTGAAAATCTCCACGGAACAAGCAGCCAGACACAAATTTTTCGCTTGTGGTTCCAAGCTTTTTTTACAGCCAATATTTAAGCCCCAAGCCATCTTTTAGCCCTCCTGAGGTTATTACAAATGGCTTTGCTGATTTTACCCCTGCTGCTTTCTCCCCCATCCTGCCAGGAAGAACTGCTGTTTTTCACACTTGTCGCCACCAAAGAAATATTTATATAAATGTTATGTCCCCTCAGTCTAGTTTTGATGGGGCTTTTGGTTGTAATTTGCTCAATATAATGGTGTCTAGACTTACAAAAGATACAAGGTGCTGGTAAGAGCTCTCAGTGGGTATTTGGGATTTGGGGATGCTGCTCACCCCTGAACTGAAAGATGGGGTATGTGGGTTTGTGTGACCCTTGCCAGAAACAGCCTCCGTCGCTACAAGCTGGGAGAGCTTGCGTAATATTCTTTCCAGCTTTCCAGGCTTATTCACCTTTGTTTGGCACAAGCTCTCCACGAAACCCCTCAACTCTCCTTAGCAGAAAGAATCAGCATGGTATGGGTGGCATCTTTCAATTAAGATTTCATAGCATAGAGGTAGTAAAGTATTTCTGAGCTTGGCTAGCTTGATGCTAGCTGCTGTAAGCTTTTTTTCCTATAGGAAACAAAACCATTTAAAAATAAAGACTTTATTTGGGTGGTGCCTGGCCATTCCCAGTTGAGAGGTCACCAGTGGGGTTTCTGCAATAATGATCTCTCTCAACCAGATTTTATTTCTGTTTTATTCCTGACTGCCAGTTTGCACTAGTAGAGCTTTAATATCTCATTATATAAATTTTACCTGGGGCGGACCTGCCTTGAAAAGCTAATGATTTTTATAGACTTTTCCTAATTTTACCAAGGAAGGAATTGCAGCATCTCAATCCACTCCACTTTCCTACGAAGGAAAGGCCAGGTGTAAAGCCAGCTGAGCTGGTAGGCATGAAGAGAGAAGTACAACTGTGTTATAGGTGCACAGACACTGAAGAAGCTTTTCTGCGAGTCCTGTCTTGCAGTCTGGTATTTTGTAAAATGGCTCTAAGCTACCCGTTCTTTGTGATTTTTTTCTCTCTCATTTGTGTTAACAGAGCTCACTGCAAATTGCTCGTAGCTGTGTACATTTTTATATTTTCTCCATAAGAGATCTTAAGCGTTGTATCTTGCTCTGTTCTTTCTAAAACATGTCAAAATGTCATTTGCTACAATAATATCTCTAATGCACTTCTGGTAAACTATTCTTAACAAAACAGTTTTCAAGTGTATGATATTGAAGTTGAGTTTTTTCAGTGCGTTCCCCATCTTTCCTGGGCGAGCTGGAAGGTGCAGACCTCTCACCTTGGGCATGAGGAAGCTCTGAACTGAAGTTGGTGGCGTTCCTGTGTTGGGCAACAAAGATGTTAATACAACAGTTGGTAAGTGCTGTTGTGAAAGACACAAACTGATTGCTCAGCACACACTAACAGAAGGATATGGAACAACCAGCCGGTGTTGCACGGCCCCTGGGAGCTGCAGTTGCACCATTTCCTTCCCTGCAGCTGGGAGCAGGCAAGGAGATGGAGAGGAACCAGTGTGCAGCGCTGTGAGGAGCACGCTGAGAGCAGGTGGGCTGGCTTGGGAAATGCTGACTTCTTTCTCTTGCATGAACGGTGTGAGTTCCCCATTTTGTCCCTTTTATGTCAGTAGTAACTTCCCTGGCTGTGCAAGTCCCTTTGAGGTCGTCTTATGGACTGAGCAAGAGTGCAGCGGGCAAATGCCAGTGTTTGGGTGGGTATCAACAGGCAGCGGATGAGTTAGGCCTGATGCTGTCCAGGAGAAATCCCTATTTTGCTCTTCAGCCTTTCCAAAGATGCTGTGACTCTGCTGCGTGAATTACGTCGTGTTGCAGGGGGGTCCACTGCCAGTTACCAGGGCTTTTGGACAGATGGTACCCGCCGTGCGTGTCCATATAAACCTTGCAAACGTTAGGCTAGTCCCTCTTAACACTGCAATTATCTTAACGTTATCTCTGAATGGGAAAATGATAAATGATGGAATAAGGTTTTTGGAGGAAAAAAGCCAGAAACCTGTGAGACACACCTGGGCAATGGACTCTGAGCAGAAACAGCAGCAAAAGCCAGGCCAAACCCTGAGCCAGGGCAAATCCCACCCCCCCAGCCAAGGCTTGCGGTTTCCTTCCAGCTGTGCTGCCGTCCTCCGTTTGCTGCCCACAGGCGAGGGCTGGTTTCTCCATCGTTTCCTTTATAGATGTTTCAGCTCAGTGGGATTCAACCAACGTCCAAACCCCGATGGTTTGGTCCATGGAGTCCTTCCTCTTTTGCAGCCTCTGTGGGGCTGCAGCCCCAGTGAACTGGATAAAAGAGAGCTGCACATCTTATTTCTTGGAGATGTTACAGTATCATAACTGTAGGTTTGCCAGGCTTGTTAGCAGGGAATTGAAAAGGTAAATCCTCTTCCCAGCTCTATTTTACAGACCAATTGGCTTTGGCCGCCTTGGCTAGCCCGGTGTGTTCAGTGCGGGAATGAGTCAATGCTGAGCACTTGCCTCCAGGCTGATCTGCATTAAAATATGTTATTAAAGAACCTTAAAAGCTGTTTATCTGGAAAATAAGTAATATTTTTTGGCTAGTCATTAACAATCAAGTTATGATTTAAAAATTAACCATAGAAGAATTTACTTGCGCAATTAGCAGCACAAGATTTCGTGGTGAAAATCAGGCTGGCACAACGTAAAGCAGGTTGCACTCGCTATTTCTTCAGGCTTCTGATCACTTGAGGAGGCTGAGATAAGAGGAATTTTGCCCCAGCGATTAATTGAGCTTTGTGTACCCGGCTTATATTGTAGTATCGGTGAAAAATCAGCAGGTCGCGCTAGCTGATCAGCCAAAAGGCATGGCTGGGCATGCTATTTTAAGTAGCTAGCAGGCTGTAGGAGATCTGAGTGTGTTGCCTTTCTTCTTTGCTAAGTAGGAGCTGAAGATGAAGCTGAAGTTGTGCCGGTGCACAGTTCTGATTGAAGACTCCATCTCGAATTTATTTGGCCTTTTTTATATACTTGCTAAGCCTGAGTTAGGCAGGTTTTAATGGGGAGGATGGAGGAACACAAAAGAAAATCTTTTTGCTACCAATGTCCTCTCCTGTGGGGAGGCCAATGCTCTGGCTGAATCCTCCAAAAGTCCTTTAATGCTCGGGGAAATAGAAGGGAATAGTGTGGATTTGGGTTGCAGCCTTAGGCAGTTAGGACTTCATAGTTTGGGATCCCAGCTTATTTCTCTGCCTGGCACCTTGTGGTACAAACTTATAAAATGAAAGGGATAGCAAGGAAAAGGATCCCTGCAGAACGGGTGCAGAAAAAAAGCCATTCTGCATGGCCTGAGTTTGCCAACTC